AATGATAGCTGGCGCGTGCGGATGGTAGCAGCGCTGTCTCTTATACACATCTATATGTGTATAAGAGACAGCTCTCTCTCTCTCTCTCTCTCTCTCTCCTTTCTTGAGCGGCAACCTCTCCCATCCTCCTCTTCCAAACCCCAAGGGCAACCCTTACCCTCGCTCCCCTTTCCTCTTGGCATGCAACTAACACAGGGTACGAACGGTGAAGGAACTCAGATCTCACTTGGTGGAAGGAGAGGGCAAGGGGAGGGCTGTCAGTCCCTTGCGCCACCAAGAAGAAAAGAAAGAAAGTGCTTGAAGGGCTTGAAGGTTGACAAGTTCAAGAGGGACTAGAGAGAATTGCCAAGTGAGAGAAAGGTCAGTTGACTCAACCAGAACCCCGACTGCATGACTAAGAGAAGAGATTGGCATGGACAAAGAAGGAAAATGAGGAGGAAGGAACGTAAGAACAAGGAGAGTTAGGCATGTGGGAGGGATTATGTGTTAACCCCAAATAAGGGTTGTATCTGTTTGCATTGTGTCGAGTGTGCAGGTGAGTAGACTTAAAATGTCTTGAGCTGGACTGAGCCCGGATATGCCGGGCAACAAAAGGAAAAGAGGGACAAAAGCTAAGCAGTTGTGAACGTAACCTTTGCCTATGAATGGGACCTTTTGTGCATGCAACCCTGAGTATGGATGAAAATAGAAAAATGGTGTGTATAGTTGAAGTTCGGAAGAGTGTCGAACGGTCGAAGATGGCTGCCAAGTCCTATGAGTATGCGGGCGGGAACCCTGAAAAGACTAAGGGGCGCATAGGGAGGCCAAAAAAAAAAAAAATGATGCATGAGGKGCGAGGCAAAGAAGGCTAGTGCGCAGATGGGCTAAGAGGAAAACGGGCATCCTCGATGAAGTCATAGGATCATTGCGTTAGTAAATGAATGTGTGGCCCAAGTAAGACGCTCGGCCTGCGCATAAAAGAAGAGAAGTCTTTCACAAGACCCCTGGACTGCCTGAGTATTGGAAGGAGCAATTGCACGAGAACACGACAAAGTATCGAGAAAATAACGCCTGCGAGTGATCAGCAAAACTGCCCCCCTAGCGAGAAAGTTGAGCTACATCCCCAATGTCAAAAGCTCTCTCGCTCAATGGCCCATCCCCATCCATCTCCAAGCAGTTGGTGCGGGTGACCCTGTGACGAATGACTCCTCACCTTGAGCATGAGTGTGGGAGGAGCCGTGCCAGCTGGGACCCGCAGATGGGTCGACTCTAACTCAAAAGTCTAATAGGGTGAGGCCTGACAATGTGCCTACCTCCAAACCAACAATGGTTGCTTCCGGTGTCATCAGTTGGGCCATCAACAAACCAGCTGCCCCAACGCTGGCCAGTTCACCCGCCAGGCTCCCCGCTCCACGGGACCTCGGCCCGTCGTATCCACCACCTCACCATCCGCGACATTGGGACCCTCCCACACATGAACACCGCCCCTTTGCCTATTGTGACCCCGCCCTGACATTGACAACTAGTCAGCCAGCCCAATTGGCATCGACGATCCGTCTACCACCCCCACATCCAGTGACGCATACCCCACCGGATGATAATCAGGCGCTGCAACTTACTCTGCCTGCCCCCCTCCCGACGGCGTCTCTCACCCCATCGGTTGAGCTGATCACTTGCACGTGCTCCTCTTCCCTTCTCCCAAACTGCTCTTAGATCACCTTCTCCGATGTTGTAGAGGCAGGCTCGACATGACCGGCTTGTTAGACATGGTGACCTCAACAACATGATCTCCACCGCTTTTGTCGAAACCGCCCAATTCCAGCTCAAGTTCATATCCACCTGTGTCCGCAAAGCCGGTCTCCGCTCAACCAGCTATGATTCCGCGATCACCATTCGCTTAGGGAACAAGGACTCAGCCGTCATCGTCGATCGCACAGTTCCCGAGGTCACCATGATTGTCGTCTCCCTCCGTAGTCAGATCTCCTTCGAGGTCATGCACCTCATGTGCGACGTCGTTCTGGGAACTATTGATCACTACATGCCCTACTCTTTCTACCCCTCTTTTGTCTGCCCTTTTCTACTCCAAACTCTACCCGTGACATCCCTTACATTCTTACTCCTACCACCCCACCCCTCATCCCCCCCGACCAATTCCTCCACATGTCTCGCCAACAAACTGACTCTGCCTACTATTGCCTCGTCATCGACCTTGAACGTCCTGCGTACTTGTTGCCAACGGACAAACCCGACCAAGCCCCCCCATCCGACCCGCGCATCACCTCTCTCCTCTCATAATTCAAGGACGTCTTCCCCGAGTCCTTGCCCATCGGCTTGCCACCCAATTGTGGTGTATTTCTCACCATCGACCTCGAACGCGACCATTCTCCTCCTTGCCGCCCTCTGTACTAACTCTCAGTCCCCAAGGCCGAAGAGATGAAGCGCCACTCTTGAGAAAGGATTTATTAAGCCTAGTTCATCCCCCTTCGGAACCAGTTGTCTCTTCGTCAAAAAGAGTGGCACCTCGGAGCTCCGCATGTGCACAGACTATCGCGCCTTGAACTGGATCATGATAAAGAATAAGTATCCACTCCCCGAATATATGAACTTCTTGATCGCCTCTACGGAGCCAAATACTTCACCAAGATTGACCTTCGCAGTGGCTTCCACCAGATCTGTATTCGCGAGGAAGATACCCACAAGACCGCCTTCCGCTCTCGCTTTGGGCATTACGAGTTCCTTGTGATGCCTTTCAGCCTCACAAATGCCCCAGCGACCTTCCAGTCCACCATGAACCACATCTTTTGTGATCTCCTCGAAGTTTGTGTCGTGACCTACCTCCACAACATCCTTGTCTTCGAGTCTCACCTTCAACACATCAAGAAGGTATTTTCCATCCTCTGCGAGCAAAAGTCCTACGCTAAGCTTAGCAAATGTACTTTTGCCGCCTCGAGTGTGGAATACCTTGGCCACATTGTCTCTGCTGATGGTATCCGCATGGACTCCTCGAAGGTCGCCGCTCTCATCAAGTTCCCACCTCCCACCACCTTGCTCCAACTTTGGTCATTCATTGGACTCACTAATTGCTACCGCCACTTCATCCAAAACTTCTCTGACACCACCTATCCACTCCATGAGCTCACCCGTGCCATCGAGTCTTTCACATGGAACGAACGCCGCCAAACCGCCTTTGACAAACTCAAACACCTCATCACTATTGCCACTGTCCTCAAGATCGCCGACCCTTCTCGCCTCTTCTACGTTACCATCGATGCTTCAGACTTTACCCTCGGCGCCGGTCTATCCCAACATTTCCCTCGCGACCCCCCGACCATCAAGTATTCCCCCACACGATCCAAAGCACCTCCCGACAAGTACCCTATCGCATTCGCGAGTAAGAAGCTCATCATTGCTGAGATGAACTATTCCTCAAATGAGAAGGGACTCCTCCCCGTCATCTATGCCCTTAAAGTTTGGCGCCCTCACCTCGATGGCCAGTACTTCACCATTCGCACCGGCAACACCGTCGTCTTCAGCATCCTCACCAAAAAGGATATTACCCCTCATCGGCCCGCTGGCTAGACTTTCTCGCCAAGTATATTCATCATCTGCCATACTCCCGGCAAGACCAATCGTGCTGCCGATGCGCTCTCTCGCCGACCCGATCACAAGCCCCTTGAGAAAGTCTTTGCTGCAATGACTCATGTCAATGTCCCCCAATCTCTTCAACATCATTTCATCCATGGCTACGCCTTCTGCCCCAACTTCACTCCTGCCTACACCAAACTCCGCAACCTTGACATTATCCTTGACTACTCCCTCATCGACCATCTTCTTTACATCGACACCAAAGGAACCCGCAGCCTTTGCATCCCTTCCGTCCGCGGTCTCCGTACCCACTTCTTGGCTGAGCACCACAACGCCAAGACTGCTGGACACCTCGGTTTCCAGAAAACCTTTGACACTATCTCCCGTTACCTGTACCGGTCGTCGCTCCTTGCTGACATCAAAGCCTACATCCATTCTTGCCCTACTTGCCAAGCCGTCAATCCCTCCAACCAAGCCATACCCCATACCCACCCACCGCTGGCAATCTGTCTCCTTGGACTTCGTTTGTGGTCTCCCCACGACCGACCATGGTCACGATTGCATCTATGTCGTTGTCTGCTGCCTTACCAAGCGTGCCCATTTCATCCCTTGCACCACCACCTGCCAAGCCAAGGACGTCACCAAACTCGTCTTCGACCACGTCACCCGTCATCACGGTCTCCCCGAAAACATCATCAGCGATTGTGACTCCCGATTCCTTTCACAGTTCTGGAGAAATCTCTTCAAGGAATACAGGATCACCCTCAAGTACAGCATCGCCTTCCACCCCCAGACTGATGGCCAAACAGAGAAGATGAACGATACTCTCCAACACATCCATTGTCATCCCCATCAGCACGACTGGGACCAGCATTTCCATCAGCACGAATGGGACCAGCTCCTCTCTGCTGCCGAGATCGCCTACAACAACGTTTTCTGCCCTTCCACTAGCATGTCTCCTTTCTACGTCGACCTTGGCTACCATACTCACTTGCCCTCTGACTTCTTGCTCCCCTCGCAGCTCAACCAATCTACTCCCTATCCCTCCCTCAATGAATGGGTTGCCACAATGAACCGCCTCCTAAGAGAAGCCAGCGAATCTATTCAACGAACTCAGGAACAACAAGCCAAGCAAACAAACAAACATTGTCGTGACATCACTTTCCATGTTGGGGACAAAGTCGGTCTCTCCACCAAACGCTTTGATCCCGAACAAGTCTTGTCCAAGAAACTCTCGAACAAGTGGCCCGGTCCATTCCCCAGCATTGAACAAACCTTCGCTGTAAACTACAAGCGCCAACTTCGTCCTGACATGAACCTTGTCCATTCTCTCTTTCATGTAGAATACTTTAAAGAATTCCAGGAATCACCTCAATTCTCTGATCGCCCTCCCCCTCGTCCATAACGTATCATGCTTCTGACCGGTCCTGAATTCTTTGTGGAATCAATCATCGGCTGTAGAACAACTCAAGTATCCAACCACCCCGAGCCTATAAAAGAATACAAAGTAAAATGGACTGGATACCCAGACGAAGAATCAACATGGGAACCGTTTGCAAATCTAAAGAACACCATGAGACTTGTTCGTGCCTATGATCGTACCCACCCTGTATCATAGCTATATACTTGCCTATGCCTCAACCTGTACATACCTACTCTACACACACCACCCCTGAACCCAACCTAACCCCTACCCTTGATCTTGATCTCTTGCTGTCGGATCCGCCCTTGCCTCAGCCTAGTCCTTACCATCTTTCCTCTACCACACTCTCTGTCTCTCTTGACCAATTGTTGTGAACCTGCGGAACGCCGACGATAAAAAATCTAATGGCAAGCGCACGAGGACAATGGCCTGCTGCCTCATGATCATGGAGATAATGCAGCTGGTTTAGCCCCCATGTTGTTTCCTTGGCCGACATCTGGACTCACGGCCTTACTTGAGCAGCGACATGTGATCTAGACCTTTGCATCAGTCTGCGATTTCCTTGGTACCAGATCATACCTCCTTGCAGTTCATGAAGTGGACGCACTCCAACACTTGGACTTTGGACACTTGTAGTCCTACTTCGCTTTCCTGCAGTTTGGACATTCGACAACTACCTGTTCCAGCCGCTGAAGACCGGTTCCCTCACCTATCCTGGATCTGATCAAGACCTCCGAAGACCTTTTTGAAGACAATTTTTTTTTTTCTTTTTGACACCTTGTTACAAATTTGAGACTTTGCTTTCCCAGATCCCTCAGACACCCCAGCCCTTGAGCATTGAACAAACGATTTTTATTTTTATTTTTCTCAAACCTGACAAGTTGTGACAACCCATAACCTTGTGGAACTGCCCTATTACTTGTACAACCTCAATAGGATTACCCTATTACTTGAACATTGCTACCGTCATCCTTGTAGAACCTCAATAGGATTACCCTGTTACTTGAACATTGCTACCCTCACCCTACCTGTTCAACCTTGCAGAACCTCAACTACCCTGTTACCTGAACATCGATACCTTCACCCATGTAGAACATCAGTAACATTACCCTGTTACTTGCATTACTCCCCTTCTCCTTTTCTGACCAGTGATCGCTCCCATCCCGTCCTTCACAGTTTTTTCATTAGGTCTTTGGCAACCGGGACGTTGCCTTCTAGAGGGAGGGGATAGTGTTACAAACTAGCCAGGGCTTGATCCCTGGTCTGTGGGCCACAAGAAGCCCGCCTGCAGCCTTTTCGTTTGTTTTCTGCTGCATCCCCGTTTTGGCGCCACTCCCAAAATCCCCATTTTGAAGTTTCGCTCGTAGGGCCTTGTAGACCCGGTCCACGTTTGGCACGACCAACCTATATATACATCGGTCGCCTGTACCATCGGGCAACCAGTTTTCAGCCACCGTGCTCGCTTGCTCTGTGTCACTTGCCCCTTCGACATCGAGAATTGAAGACTTCGACTTTGTGACCACTACTTTGTCTGCATTTGTCGAGTCCGTCAGTCGCGTTGAGTGAGTGAGTGGTGTGTTGCCGCGAGTTCAATGAACGCGCGTTTCGCTTTCATGTTTCGAACGCGATGAACGCTCGTTCATTGGTGTGGGCTGGGGGCCGTGTGTGTGTGTGTGTGCGTGTGTGTGTGTGCGTGTGTGTGTGTGTGTGTGTGTGTGTGTGTGTGTGTGTGTGTGTGTGTGTGAGAGAGAGA